CAGTCAGTGCTCTTAACCACTGAGCCATCTCTCCAGCCCCGATTTTTTTAAGCCTATCTTTGCCGGGCATAGTGGTGCACACCTTTTTCCAGCATTCAGAATACTAGAGGCAGTTGGATCTCTGTGAGATCAAGGCCATCCTGGTCTACATAAGTTTCAGGCCAGCTGGGGTTACAAGAAGGCTTGTCTCAAAAAGACCAAAAAAAAAAGGTCTACTGTCCTTTTTAATGTTTAATGGTTCTCAGTGGAATGCCTCTATCTCCAGAGTCATAAAGATACAAAATACATACTTTGGATTAAAGGGGAGGGCAACATATCTAACCTATTCAAAATCATGAGCCTAAATACTGGCATTCTTCCCTGGTATTGAAGCTTTCATAATTTTTCATGTACAAAATTACTTCCTGTCAAGACTTTTAAAATTCATTTTAGTGGAGCTGGAAAGATGGCTCAGCAGTTAAGAGCACTGGCTACACTTGGAGATGACCCAGGTTCGGTTCCCAGCACCCACATGGCAGCTAACAACTCCAGTTCCAGGTCTCACACCCTCTTCTGGCCTCCACAGGCACTGCACACACATAGTGAAATTACACACATGTAGACAAAACACTCATACACATAAAAAAATTTTTTAATTAAAAAAAATTTCATTTTAGTGCCTCATCTCTTTAATAGAAACAGGAATAAGGCTCTTTCCTTCTAGTTTTCTTTTTATATCTGCACCTAGAAATTCTCGTTTCCTTCTACTGTTCACTTTACTATCACTGTCTTTGTCCAAATTCCAGTTTCCTCTTTTTAAAACAATCTTAAAGGTGAGTGTGGTGGCTTACTCCTGTAACCCTAGCTCTTGAGAGACTGAGGACTTCTTTGAGGACCAGGCCCTCCCAGACTCAAGAGTGAGACTGTCTAAAAAACAAAAACAATTATCTCAAGAATGGCTCAAGAACTATGAATGTACAGACCAAAATTCCAGCATCCCACCAACAAAATTTTAGTTTGGAAGGATACTCATGTTTGAAAATGAATATACAGCTTCTAATTATTACTCATTATATACTTTTCTCAAAAAACTCTCAATCTGCAAGGGGTTTTGCTCTCCATTTCTTCCTCCTCTTCCTGTCCTTTACCCTTTTTTTTCATGGTATCACAATTTCACACATTTTAGATAGTATCATTCACTTTCAGAATCTTACTTTGCATTGTTTATATAGGTTTAGATGCAGACTGATAGTATTTTAAAATTATTTTTATGTGTATGTTTTGCCTACATATATGTACCACATGTGCAATGCCTGCAAATGCCAGAAGGTGTTGGATGCCCTGGAAGTGGAATTAGGAATAGTTTTTAGCCATGTGGGCGTTGGGAACTGAACACTGGTCCTCTATAAGGGCAGCCAGTGCTCTTAACCACTGAGCCATCTATCTATCCCCAGATTAAACATTTTGAAAACATTGGAATATATATATTTTTTAATTAACAGTATCTTCTAATTATTATTGTTATTCAATTCGTTTTAGGGATGGGAAAATGGCTGAGTGAGTAAAGTGCCTTCCACCTAAGCTTGAGGACCTGGGTTCAATCCCAAGCATGCCCATAAAAAGCCAGGCTTGTAGTCCTGGCACTGGGTTGTAATCCTGGCACTGAGGAGGCAGAGACTAGGATCCATGGACCAGCCAGCTGTACTTGGGCAGCTCCAGGCCAGTGAGATCCTATCTATGAAAAACAAGGTGCACAGCTCCTGAGGACCACCAGAAAAGGTTGACCTCTGGCCTCCACACATACATGCATGCTCACCTGCACACATACATATGCACATGCACATACACACACCCAGCACATGGGAGGCTGAGACAGAAGAATTGCCATGAGTTCAAGGACAGCCTGAGCTATAGTGTGAGACTGTGCCAAAAAACGAAACAAAAACAAAAAATTGTAATCAAGTTCTAGTTACAATTTTATATTTAAAACTGATTGTAAGCGTTTTAGATTTATCTACTAGATTATATAGACTACACGAGGTATGTAAACAAACTTTTAAAATTTTTTACCCAGTCTTGGAAATTTAGCAACAGGGGACCTCAGTGACAGGCCAGAGAAGGCACACTGAGAACAAAAGTCTAGAACTCTCAGAATTCCCTTCCAGGCCTGCTCTAACCACAAGCAAGTAGCTAAATTTTGTGGTTTTAAAAATCCCTAAAATTCTTTCTAGCTCTAAGAGTTTTACCTATTTTATAAAATATCACAGAAAAGTTAAAAATTAAAATATTTATCAAACACATGTATTCATACAAATTTGATTGAGCAACTTAAAGCAACTTTTTCTTTCCATATTTCTCTATAAAGGGAAATTTTACACACACACACACACACACACACACAAATACACACAAACACACACCACACACCTACATGCAGATATATAGGTAATGCTGCATTATATATTATCCAGTAAAAAGTGTTTTTACAGTAAAGATGGTGTTTATGTAGCTTTGATTCTGTGAGGTTGCATAAACAGTTCCTGAATCATGAGAATAGTCAAGTCAAGGCCATCTACTGAGTCCTATCACATATATCAATTTCATTTTCTCCATTGTAACTATTCAAATGACAGTTTCCTAAAAATAAACAAGCAGAAGCATTTCAACTCTGTGCTTCCAAGAGAGGCTAATAATAGGCAGGCGGGCTGTTGCCGAAGCGGAGGTCAACCCAGATGCTTGCAAGGCCAGGGACTGTGCGTGAAGCAGTTGTAAGAACACAGTACAGTGGGGTCGGCTGGCCAGAACAGGAGAGTGCGTGTCTGGGTTAGGAACTTTCTGAATAAAAATCAAGATTTTTAACTACTGGGTTGGCCAAACAAAATACTTCCACTGATAAATATCAATGACCCTGGTCTATGCTTGTTCTTTCTAACACAAGCAACCTGTGCCTTTCTTTGTGGGGAAAATACACGTCTTTAATAGCTTTCCTGGACCTGTTGTACTTGAGAATTACTCCAGGTACTGGAAGGAGTGATTGAATGAAAAGGAACATTTTAAAATCAAAAGTATTCTCATATAAGAAAAATGTAAAACTTTTACTGTTACTGTTAGGTGAACATTCAACAAATAAAAGTTGGGCATTTATTACATGCTGAAGCACTGGGTTTCTTCCAAGACATGTTTATACAGCTATGTAATGTATCGTGACACTCTAGCACTCAGGTTCTGAGCCACATTCCCAGTCCCAGCATCTTATACGGGAACAGTGCAGGAACTGAGTTGAAGGCAGGTGTGGGGGATGCAAGCCTGTAATTCTGGCACTTCAGAGGCTGAGAAAATGGGGCTGGAGAGGTGGCTCAGGGGTTAGAGCACTGGATCCTCTTGCAGAGGACCTGGGCTCAATTCCCAGCACCCACATGACATCTAACAACTGTTCCTAATTCCAGTTCCAGGGGATCTGATGCCCTCTTCTGACCCCCACAAGCATTGTATGACACAGGTGCACTTACATTCATGCAGGCAAAACACTCATACATATAAAATAAAAATATAAAATATTTCAAAATTTTTTTAAAAAGAGGGTGAAGCTGGGCGTGGTGGCGCACACCTTTAATCCCAGCACTCGGGAGGCAGAGGCAGGAGGATCTCTGTGAGTTCAAGGCCAGCCTGGTCTACATAGTGAGTTCCAGGACAGCTGGGGCTACAGAGAGACCCTGTCTCAAAAAAGACCAAAAAAAAAAAAAAAAAAAATGAGGCTGAGACAAGAAAACTGAGAAAAGGCCAGCCTGAGCTACAGTGAGCACCAGAGCAGCTAGAGCTACATAGTAAGACCTTGTCTCAGACAATAACAAAGAAAACCCCCAAACTCAAAATTTAAATAAATATGTATTGTGGGTTTCAAATAAGAACTACACCTCCATGATATTCACACTTCCACAGAACATCCCCCTCCCATCAGAGTTGTGATCAAACCCTGGGGGTATTTATTAACTTAACCAGTGAAACAAAGTTATAAAGAAATCATTTGTAAGTTGGTGGAAATATTAATGTGATCAGCTCAACTGTGGCATTTAAAAAAATCTTTCCATTTGCAATTAACGTACATGGCTATTTCCAACCACTCTACTCTAAGAACAAACCCCAGGGAATGCAAACTTAAGCTCTCTGTCCACAGAAAATTTGCTCACAGCAGTAGCATTCTCAGAAACCACAACCTGGATGTGATCCAAAGGAACAGGTACGCACAGTGTGGAAGTCCACCTGACAAGACCATCTGCTCCAAGAAGGCATGGAGCGCCGAGCATCAACGGAGCCACGTGTTACTGGATTGTTTACATGGTATGTCCAGGGCAGAAAAATCCATGTGACAAAACACACTTTAGTGTTTCAGGGCAGAGAGGGAAGAACGGGAGAGACTGCCAGTGGACACGCTGCTCTCCAGGGGTGTGGGTGGGTGTGAAAACACCCTGGAACTAACAGCGGTGGCAAATGCACAATTTGGTGAATATACTAATGCTGCTAACTGCTCACTTTCAAAGGGAAAGCTAAGGTTGGAGTGAAGCTCCGGATAGAGGCAGTGCTTTAGCATGCCTGAGGCCCTGGGTTCACTCAGCAGCAGCAGCAAAGGCATGGGGGGGAGTGTTAGTATGAATTCTCTATTATGAGAACTCTATCTTGATAAAACTGTACAGTATATATATGCCCATCATAACCTACTTATATTGAATTTCTAAAACATTTGATATTCTACTAAAAAGGTTATAGGGCTTAGTATACCATATATATAGACTCTAAAATTTTTACCAAAAAACTATTTTCATGCCATCATTTTCAATAGCTATAGAACAGAACTGGGCGTGGTGGCACAAACCTTTAATCCCAGCACTTGGGCGGTAGAGGCTGGTGGATCTCTGAGTTCCAGGCCAGTCTGATTTACATAGTGAGTTCCAGGCCAGCTGGGGCTACAGGGAGAGCCTGTCTCAAAAAGACCAAAAAAAAAAGTCATAAATCCGAAGACAAAATAATTTTTAAATGTAAATATATTTAAAAAGGTAAGACACCGAAGAATACAATCTATCTATCTATCTATCTATCTATGAAAAAGTAAATATCTGTGTGCATCACGAGTAGTAGCACTATTATCCATAAGCAGCAGTGTTTATTTCCCCATACTGTGGTTTAACACTATCATGGTAGTTCATTGTTTAGGGAAATTATATAAGGTACATACAGCACACTGTAAGTTACAGAAGACAGTGTGATTGGAAAATTAATTTCAAGTAACAATATTTTCTCTAAAAACATTTGCCATTAAACAAATTATCTTAAAACTAATGAACAACAAAATGGGCTTCTTATTTTATTAAGTCCAAGATATATAGTCAACTTGCATAAAATTACAGATAGCCATTTGAAAATGGTCTGTTTCTAAAAACTCAGTAACTCAGGCTGTTGGCATTTCCACAGCAGATAACCTGGCACTCCTTCTCTTTTTATGAAGGGTGCTGCAGTGCACTTTCAGAGTCACAACGATAGTGTGCATCGGTCCCCCTTTTACTGGTACCGGCCCCAAAACCATTTCCCAAGGTGACCTGAACCACATTTCCACACAATTTTGGTTTTTACGCTCTTCCACACACTACATGTTAGTTCAGTTCAGAATTTATTTTCTATTAGGAAGTCTATCATACTGATCATTTGAACATAATACATATTAAAGTACTTGGATCAACTAGTACTTTACTAGAAATATATCTACTGACTCCACAAAGCCAGCTTTTGCTTACAAAAAAAAAAAAACTAAAAATTTCTGATTTGGGAGAAAAGAGCTACAATACAGTGAGTGGTTTTTCTCTTTATCTCTACTGTAAAACTCCATTTTGCCTAGTTATTTGACCCATCTCTATTCATGCAATTTGATGAACCCTCAGAAGAATTTACACATCTTTATACAGAATTCACATCGGTAAACTGCTAGTCCTTTTATATTTTCAGTGTCTTATCAAAATATGGACAACAAAGTTATTTTCATTCTATGAGGCAGGAAGATGTTTCCTAAGAATTTCTTTGGATGATGAAGAGATGGCATCTGGGAAGGAGACGTCAAATTCTATTAGAAGGTCACCACGTTGGTCAGGGTTTTTGGGAAATGGCAGCCCATATCCAATAATTCTTCTCCTCATCCCAGGCTTCACAATATCATTGATTGACATTGGTATGTTTCTTCCATCCATTGTTGGCACATTAATTGAGCAGCCACACAATGCCTAAAATGGACCAAATAAAATAGTTAAAACTCCAAAACTAAGAAATATTGCCAGGTGGTAAAAAATAATACCATGAAGGTAAAATTTTAACTTCTGGAAGGATTAAAACACTTAGGAAACTTCCCGTTTTAGAAAAGTCTAAGACAAGGATGAGATGCCACTAAAGACAAGAAAGAGAGGAAAGAGAAAGGAAGAGGGGGTAAAGGCCATCACTCACACGTAGGATGGTTCGAAACAGAACTCAAGGTGGGGGAACTGGAATGGGAGAAGAGCGAAAAGTTCAGGACTGAAAAGATGAAAGAGGAGCATGCCCTGCTTCTCTAAAAGACCTTTAAAGGTACGTTTACCTTAGTCAGTATCTGTCTGCTGAGTGTCTGATAGACATTAAACATTCCTGTTGAATCTCAGAGGGACCTCACCTCCAGAAATGCACAAGGAACTCTGAAACATACACACAAACTAGCAACCACAATACAGTGTGTAAAAAGGTCTGACCGAGGACTCGTGAGAGAAAGGGCAGTAATCATCTCCTTATTTTCTGGGACTAGACAATGCCTAAATTAAGCAACCACTAAACTAGGAGCAGGTATTGGGGCAAGAAGAGAACTGTTTATAGAGGGGAGTGCTGACACAGACACAGGTAATAGCAGAGCAAATTCAGGGGAAAGGAAACACACTTTGGGGTAGAAGTCAGATTTCTAACCTTTAAGCTAAAACTTGGAATATATGAGTAGAGGATATATCAGTCCATTTAAGAAATCTAAACAGGGACATGACCCCATTTGATGGGTTACAAATGAACTTGAGAAATAGTACAAAAAGAACTCGAGAACTATATTAAAGCAGATTATGTTATAAATTACAATTTACTTACTATAAATTGCTTTAACACCTGTTATACAAATCTTACTCCAAATTAATAATTTTCGAACAAACTTCTATTACAAATCGTCTAAAGTGATGAGACAGCCAGTGCAGGCCTCACAACCACAACTTAGAACCAAAGCAGAGCTCACCCGACGCTGGGCAGCAGTGTACCTAATCAAGGTTTAAAACTGGCCTTTAAACGTTAACATGATAACTGAGAAACTGTGCTGTCACCCATGAAAGAGATGTTACATAGAGCTTCCTCAGAGAGCTGTGATGAGGAATGCAATACATAAGCTAGCTGTTATCTAGAGAATTCCGACACTAATCAGCTACACACCAGTTTGGTCTTGGAACCCCAGGTCCCACTAACTTACCTCCCGCAAACTAATTCTAGCAGTGTAAACTATATTTGATCCATCTCTTTTAAACTTGGGGTGTTCTTTGTCTTTAATAATAAAAACAATATCTGCCGGGATACTGTTTGGCGTTTCATCTCCTTCCCTCGGAAATGTAATTTTGGTGCCTTCTTTCCACCCTTTCTTAATCTCAATGGTGAGAATTTTGTCCTCAGATCTGTAACTCCTTCCATCAGGGTTTAATCTTTTCCGAGAAATCTTCATTCGTTTGGTACAGCCACTATATATTTCTTCAAGCGAGACTCTAAGTTCATGAATAACTGGAGGATCTTGTTTGAGACGGGATGGTCCCACAGAATTCCTGTCTCTTGGATATCCATTCATGCTGAATCCAAAGGCACTAAAAGGATCGCCATCTATTTCCATTTCATCAGAATCTCGACCACCCATCCGTCTTCCAAAGAAAATTTCAAAGGGGTTGGAGCCTCCAAAAAATGCTGCAAATGTAGCATGAGGGTCGCCATGAAAGGTGTACCTGAAGGTACCTCCTTGTCCATCAGTGCCCCCTGCTCCTCCTTTCAACCCTGAGTGAAGAGATAAGCATGATTAGAAAAAGGCTTGTGCTTCTGCAGACAGCTGACTGTCAGTAACTATCTGCTAATAAACTTTAACGAAATTAGGCCACAACTTGCTAACAGTCAGAAATGTCATTATAATTAAACACAATAGCCACATGGTTTCTGGTGATCGATTCTAAGTTAAATTTTTAGGTTTGAAAATATTCCTCCAAATTCTTGGCTTTAATAATTTCTTCCTGAGTGTTTGCTTTATAATAAGAAACAGAAAAACAAGAAATAAATAAAATGAAATTGAAAATCCCTTACCTCATAAAACTACTAGTTTGGCATACTGAAGTATGTGAATTTAAGATTTTAAATGATGCCAATTGAGAGAACCTCAGTAATCACTGCAGAATCTAGATCCTTCAAAATCATTGTAATCCAGTAAAATCAATAATAAAGTAATATACTCATACTAAATAGCTTTAGTTTGGGTCTTTTACTGTTTCAAGAACTAAAACAGAACTCCTTCTAAGATGAAAAGGGAAAAAAGCTGTAATAAAAGGAACATTATGAAAAATAGCTTTTTAGACATTATAATTATTATTCTCATCCTAGGCACCAAGTTTGTTTAGGCATACCACATCACAGCTTGATTTGAAGCATATAAAAAGACTGAAATCAAGAGCTGTCTTCCTGACATATAAGATGGACAGGTTATTTCTGTCTCAAGTGAAAAACCCTCACCTTTTGCTCAAAGGGTCAACTAAGTAACATATACCTAACAAAAGACTGTATATATTTGAAATAGCATTTTCTACTATGTGCCAAAGAGTCTACTAAAAACCACAAAGGAATATAGTGATGTTTTAAGAGGTCAATCTTGGCAAAGACTTATATCGTTACAGTGTCAATGGGGACACTGGAGGAGCCTGATAGGAAATCTTTACCAAGAAAACAAGGAAGCAAATGAAGACGACAGAACTGAAAAACTCTCAAGTTTAAATATACACATACATGTGAAATTTAATAATTTTAATTTCCAAAGCAATTTAATTCTATATCTCACTATATGTTTGGCTTCTATTATTAAAAGGTATATATGTATTCTACATTATCTAACAGTCTCAACTAATGCTTACTTTCTAAAAAATTTTTATTATTTTTATTTTATGTGTATGAGGTACTGCCTGCACGTATGTACGTGCACCCATGTCATGCAATGCCCATGGAGGTCAGAAGAGTGTGTCAGATCTCCTGGAACTGGAGTTATGGACAGTTGTTAGCCACCATGTAGGTGCTGGGATTCGAACCCAGGTCCTCTGCAATCGTAGTCAGTGCTCTTAACCATTGAACCATCTCTCCAACCCCTAATGTTTAGATTTTTATTTTCATCCATGAACAGAAATCTGAAAGACCAAAAGAGAGCTAATCACCTGAGGATTTTATATATATATATACATATATATATATGTATATATATATATATGGAGAGAGAGACAGAGAGACAGAGAGACAGAGAGAGGGGAGAGAGAGACAGAGAGAGAGACAGAGAGAGATCCAAACAGCAGGTCAGGGCATTCCTTGCAGAAATGGAACAAACAAATCTAAGCAAGATAAACACCTTTAATATGCACCTCATTCAATCTCCCTTCTACAACTCTTAGTACAACTGTAAATCCAGATGTGAAATAATTAATGACCAAATGTCATTAATTGATCTTTCTTAAATGACAGAATAAGTATACACTCAAAATCATGACCAAGGTGACCAAATGAATATTTAAAATTATTTCAATCCTTCATCCCACAGATTTCATAAAGTATAATGATGTATCAGTTAATTGAGAAAATGAGCTTGCCTACTCTTAACCCTCTAAAAGGTAAAAATTTAAGTGCTTTGAGAACATAACAGATTCATGATAAGAAAGAATAACATTTTAAGTTATTACATCATAGGTTTGGCCTTCTCCCTAAAACCTCTTCCTTTACTCCCAAACATGGTAATTCAGTCAGTATTATAGTCTGTGAGAAAATTCACACACAGCCCGAAGTGACTTCATTAGAACTGACAAAAATCCTCCAATGCAGCATTGAGATTTTCCTAGACATTAAAGAGTCAACTACAAAGCTAGATAAAGAATGAGCTTCTTTAATAACTGAGAAAACTCTACCAAAATCAATGCCACTGTAATACGACATGGATTGTCATACACATATTTCTTGTACTACCTAACACTTGGATTCTAACAAGCATCTCATCAATTATATAGCTAGTCCTTAATCATGTATACTGCAACTCGTAATAAAAATTTTTAATGTTCAACTGGATTGACTCTGCTAGCTAATATGTTTTCTAAAACAATCACCTGTGATCAAGAAATGCACTCTAGCAAGCCTGGTCTACAAAGAGAGTTCAGGCCAGTTGGGGCTATCAGGGAGAACCTGTCTCAAACCCTCCGCCAAAAGAAATGTACTCTAGATTCAAATCTGCCTGGGCTTTAAATCAATCAACCAACCAATTTAATATATTTTGGAATACTATGCATAGCAATGACCTCTATGTACTTAACTTCACAAAGTTTATGAAAATAAGAAATACTGGAGAAGAATTAGGATTGCAAAGTAAAATGATGATGGTACTTGTTAATTCCTACTTTAAGGATATCCAGGGTGCAAAAAATTCAGATTTGCAACAAGACTTCAAGGGAGTTAAAGATTAATAAGCACCTTTAAACAGTCATAACTAACAAAAGATTCAATTAACTTACACATCTGCAGAACATATGGCAAAGAGGTCCAGTGACTGCATAGATGGTAAAGAAGACAGGCAGCACACCAGCACGATGGTCAGTACAGTACAAACCAGCATGACGGTCAGCACAGTACAAACCAGCACGACGGTCAGCACAGTACAAACCAGCACGACGGTCAGCACAGTACAAACCAGCAGGATGGTCAGTACAGTACAAACCAGCACGATGGTCAGTACAGTACAAACCAGCACGATACGACGGTCAGCACAGTACAAACCAGCAGGATGGTCAGCACAGTACAAACCAGCAGGATGGTCAGTACAGCACAAACCAGCAGGACGGTCAGCACAGTACAAACCAGCAGGACGGTCAGTACAGTACAAACCAGCAGGATGGTCAGTACAGCACAAACCAGCACGACGGTCAGTACAGTACAAACCAGCAGGACGGTCAGCACAGTACAAACCAGCAGGACGGTCAGTACAGTACAAACCAGCAGGATGGTCAGCACAGTACAAACCAGCAGGACAGTTAGCACAGTACAAGTCTGAGCACACAAAACTACCTTTCAGCATCCCAACAGAGTAAGTGATCAAGCAACAATCAGTAAGATAAGGAAGGAAAAAAGAAAAAGAAATCTTAGAAAAGTTGGAGCCTCTGAAGATTTGTCATTCAAAAATTTTTATTTTTTAGCACATTTATTTGTGTGTACCTATCAGTCTGTATCTATATGTGTATGTATGTATATATGTATTTATGTGTGTGGGCATGTGTATGCCATGGTGCACATGTGGAGGTGAGAGAGCAGTTTTCAGAAGTCAATTCTTTTCACCATGTGAGTCCCACAGATTAAACTCAAGTCATCAAGCTTGTCACCAAGCACCTTTACCCACGGAGTCATTTCATTGGCCCAAGGGGAAAAAATGAATTGTTTAATACAAACATCTGACATATCTTCTGAACCATTCAAAACCAAAATTAAAAGTTGTTTGGGGGGCCAGAGAGATGGCTCAGCAGTTAGGAGCACTGGCTGCTCTTGCAGGACCCAGGTTCAATTCCCAGCATCCACATGGTGGCTAACAACCATCCTAACTCCAGTTCCAGGGATCCAAAATCCTCTTTTGATCTCCATGAACACTGCACAAAACAGGTAGACCTACCTACATGCAAGCAATACACTCATACACATAAAATAAAAACAATAAATGAATATTAAAATAAACTTGTTTGAGCAAAGAATATTTGAAAATCTAATTTTAAATTTCCATAGCTTTGTGGTTTGGGTTTTCAAAAGTTTCAACTATGGAGAAATTTATTTTTCTTTTAATATATAGATTATGTGCTTATATAAAACTAATTTTTAGGGGCTGGAGAGATGGCTCAGTAGTTAAGAGCAGTGGTTGCTCTTGCAGAGGACCTGGGTTCAATTCCCAGCACCCACATGGCAGCTAACAACCATCCGTAACTCCAGTTCCAAGGGACTCCAATGCCCTCTTCTGACCTCTGTGGGCATTGCACAAAATGGGTACACCTACCTACATATGAACAATACACTCATCCATATAAAATAAAAATATTTTTTAAAACCTAATTTGTAAGCACACAAAGTTGTATAACTCTCACCACAATTCATTTGTGGAACATTTCCATCATTTCCAAGAGTTCTCCAGTTCCTATGTGTGGTGCATCCCTACCTCCAGCCCTAGGCAAGCAAGCTCTTCTGTCTTTCTTTTCCAGACATTTCATATAAATGGAATTATATAACATGTAGTCTTTTTTATCTGGGTTTTTGTTCAGCATACTTTTTGACGTTCGCTTCTGTTGTGACATATTTCATTAAATGGGTCCTCTTGATCGTTTAAAAGTGCCCACTATACTTTTTGTTTATCCATTTACTAATTGATGTTATTTTTGGATTTTTTTCAATGCAGAGTCCTTACAAGTGCTGCTGTGAGCATTCAGGTCCATGTCTTTGTGTGAGCTTTTTTTTTTTTTTAATTTTTCATAGATTCCTCAGAATAAAACTGCTAGATTGTATAGTAAACTTAAAACATCTTTATTTTTGTTCGTCTTTAAAACTAGGCATTTTAAATTGCAGATATTCCAAGATTTTTATAACATGAACAAGCAAGATTAATGGTTCTCTTAATTTCTAAATATATAAATTTAGCATCATTGTATCTACTTCCAGTCCGTAGTTCCTTATTTCTACTTTCCTAGCTCCAAAGTAGGCATGGGGATTGCGGGAGTCTCTCTAGTACATCTCTCTCCACAGTTCAACAATTTGGTGCTTGTTACCACTGGGGAAGCCTATGGACCAGCACTACAAGCACAGCCTGAGGAAGAAAGACAGTGCTTTCACAATTCAGGGCACTGAGGACTGGGACCAGGGTTCCTACATGCTTAGCAAGTGCTGCATCACTCCTCTATACTCCCAGCCCATGAGGGATTCAAAAGAATTAACATAATTCTAACGAAGGGTAAATAAATAGAACACTTTTCAGTGAAGGAAGAATTCTAAAGAAATTCCAACAACATTTATCCAACTGTATTTTCAAGTAACCCATGAGTACAGAATAGTTCTAAACACTATGTTCCAACGTTTGCACACCCTGCTCTCCTCTTCCTTTTATTGCCTGGAGCACTTAACCAAGTTAAGAACAATAACAAAAAAATTCAGGGCACAGAAATAATCCTGATTCCATGTTTTGAAAACTTAGTCACTGGTACCGATCACTGAACAATGAAAAGTCAAAATAAAGGGAAAAAGTACTCAAGAAAAGCACTGCTAAGAGGGAAAGAAAATGGACTGTCTGGTGCCTTGAGAATTCTGAGGACATATCTTAATGAACCTGCACCTATGGCTTAAGCACAAGCGATGGTGCCTGGTCTGTGGGAACTTACGACGCCACTCCATATTTATGGATTTCTTTACAAAATAACACCTTCCAAAGCAGCAGCAGAGTACTAGCAGCATCTGAAAATCCTGCCTAGCTTTTGAAAGGAACAAATCATGGTATTTTGAGCAAGGTGACCACAGAAAACATATAGACTAGACTACCCATTACTTGCTTTTTTCAATTATTTATCTTGTAAGAACCTGATACTGCAGAGCCTCACCCTTTTAAAGCCAGCAGCATAAACTTTAATTCTTGGTTGCTCAGAACAAAAGTAAAACAAGAGGGAGAAGAACCTCTAAACTACACATAATCACCCTGATTGTCTCAATTTATTTTAATTTCCTTAATGCAAAATGAGAGGTCACTGCTGGACTCTACTTGAAGAATTTATTTCTACTTAGGAAAACAAAATTATTTCCATAGCTACAGTGACTTAAAAGACATCTGAGGTGAAAAAACTTCTGTAAAAGTACCTTAGTCCAGATTTAAAATTTGTAAACCTCAGAATTTGTAAGAATTAAAGGGTTGTTGCTGTTGTTAGCAATTTTAAACTGTCTTACTTTTTCCTTCATTTACATGAAGACAGTGGACAAACCTGGTTTTAGGACTCAGAACAATCACAGGGACTCTCAAAGAGCCCCATTTACAGTGCTTACTAATTTCTGACTCACAAGGCAGGGAGAGAAAGGGAAGTTGTCAGGCTGTCCTCTTCACCTAGATAGTAAAATTTTCTAAAGTAATAGTGACCTAAAAGAAAAGCCGTAATTGTCCAACTACATGGCTATTTTAGGTCAAAAACTATATTTCTGAGACCTTTTCTACTGGCATACAATTACTGTTTACAATTAAGCTAAAAACTTGTTCTGGTATTTTATGACATCAGGAAAATTCTTTCCTCTCCAGGCAGAATGCCAAAAACAACTAGAAGCTAAATGCCTGCGCCTTCTGCTTCTAAGACAGACGACTCTGTCTTGTTCAGTCTCAACTAGCTTCACTCTAAAAAGGCAAAAAACTTCTTTTTGTTTTTCTGAGTAAAATATAAATGACCCAGAATTTGAACTGCCAATCTTAGGATTGTAAATGACTCAAGAGTCTATTGACTCTGACGGAAATTCATTAAAAATCAAAACAGGTTGCATAAGAGTTTTAAATCATTCGTTGCATGGGAATTTTAGGTTTCATTTAAAATAGAAAAAGCTAAAATCCTAAGTCTAATGGTAGAATATGTACAGTACAAAATGCTAAAATCCCCCAAAAGACAAAGGCATTTCATTCATAAGCTCATTCAAATAATCAGGGATGCGATCTTTTCACGTATATTTTAGGTATATCTGAGCATTTAATTTAACGATAACCTGAAGACTGAGAAAGAAAAATAGAGTCAAAGCCAAAGGAACAGAAATATACAGGATACTTACCTTCTTCCCCAAACTGATCATATATTTCTCTCTTTTTAGGATCACTCAATACTTCATAAGCTTCTGCGACCTCTTTAAATTTTTCCTCTGCCTGAGGAGATTTGTTCTTGTCCGGGTGAAATTTGAGGGCTTGTTTTCGGTAAGCCTTTTTAATATCTTCATCTGAAGCTCCTTTTTCAATTCCCAAAATGTAATAATAGTCTTTCCCCATTTCGAATGCCTTGAAATGAACTTAGATTTCCCTTTGTAAAAGAAAACAGCGTCCCCAGGCTCAGCAATACAATGATTCTGAGAAAAATAAACCACGCTGGGTATTTTAAAAGTTAAAGCAAATAAGCAATTCAGCTCAGCTGTCTGAGGGCAGGGACCCGGCAGTGTCTATTTAATTCCTTCCCCGACAGCTCACTTACAGATAAATATACACTACCCGGGAGCCAGCCTCCTTTTAGACCCTCCCATTTTTCACTACGTGTCTCTGTACTTTCTAGAACAGCAAATGCTACAGGACGTCACTTTCCCAGCTGCCTCTAGTCAAAGTACTCGCTATGCTTCCTCCTCCTCCATGATTAACTATTCCCTTTCCTTCTGGCTCCACCACTTGTATTTCTTACTTAAGAGGCCAAGTGGATTTAACAAATCAGTATTTCAACAAAGACTGTCAAAATTTCACACTTATTTACTCCACTAGAGAGGTAAAAAGGCAACAGAAATAATTACAGCCATCAAGCATCCCATGTTAAAGTAACCAAGTTATTATACAAATAAAAGCCATGGACTTCTTTTAGGTCTTCTAATTTCAAGTTACCTAACTGTAAAACAGACAATACTAAAATATGAGGGCATTCAAATTAAAAAAATTCAAACAATGTGTGTCATTTCAAAACTCCTGGTTTTTTTTTTTTATCAATCAGAAAGATGAGGAAGTCAATCTACTAAATTTCGATAAAAGGTCGTCTTAAAACTCAAAAGCAGTATTTTTAAATAAATCACTGAAGATCTTGACTAATGATGCAACTAGTTTTTGTGTGTAACATTGAATAGTTTATTATTTATAAAAGCTTAATATCTGAATTCAGCTATTCAGATCTGAGGATCACTCTTCCTGTGCTGTGGGTAATAGGAAAAGAGTATCAGATTACAACATACTCGCATTCCTTAGAAGTCTTACCTGGGCCAACTTAAAATCTGGACATGCTATTTAAAAGGGGCAGAAATGTAAGAACTATTTTCTAAAACACATTTCCCCTAATATAAAATATATACTTATTGACAAAAATTTTTCAAAACGCAGAAAAAAAAAAGCCTCCCCTATCATATCATTTTGGGAAATCTGTTAAATATTAGTATATTTCTTTCCAATCTTAAAAAAAAAAAAAAAAAAAAAAAAAAAAAAAAAAAAAAGAATAGCCCCTGATTTCAGCTATCCTTATAGACTTAAAGGATTTTTTTTTGGTCTTTTGAGACAGGGTCTCTCAGTTTTAAATCACATTTCCATTTATATACCATTTGCTGTCTGCTTTCTCATATAATGTATCTTCAGTATTTATGAGAAACATTTTCAATGTATAGAACTCATCTTTTTTTTTTAATTTAACAAAAACAATCTCACAGTATTTACTGTCACCTGATAATAAGGATCATGAAAAACAATATTAGTAAATGTTGCAAACTATGCTCCCAGAAGACACCTTTAAAAAAGAGCAAACTGTAGTCCTTCTCAACTTCCTTGAGCATTTCTAATTGGACACACTTTGTAGCAGGGTAATGTTACCTCCTTTTAGCACGATCCGACCCAGCTGTTTTCTTGACTTTGTTTTAGAATGAATCTCTTCTGCATCATCTAATACAAGGCTCATATACTCATCAAAACCAGTAATACAACCCTGTATCCGCATATTCACTTGCTCACACAGCCACACCTGAATCCGAGATCTATTTTGCAAGGATCTGAAGATGAGGTTAATGGGCTGCACCATCACGTTCTGCACTTTCTGGCCCTGGCCGCGGTACGCCATGGTGGGCGTCACAAAGACCACACAAATAGATACGCAGCCTCAGAAAGCAACTTCCGGAACTAGAACTCATCTTTTATATTCTTTTTTTTTTTTTCAATATTTTCTCAAAAATGTTCCCAGGGCCTTGTGCATGCTGGGTAAGTGCTCCCAAGTACTCCACCAGGGAGCAACACTCCAGCCCCACCCTAGAGAACATCCACCGAAATGCACTCATCACTTTGGCGCTGCTTAAGACCGTGTGTCTGTAAACCCGGGAGAAAAACCTCCAAGGTAGAGGACATGGTGAACGCTGGGGAGGCTGGCTCTCCGAGCTGTCGAGCGACGGCCCCTCTGTGCCAACACTGTGACTCTGCTTCGGAAGGCTTCGTTCTGCCTCTGATGTTTCCACAGCTATGACTTCTAGGTCCAGCGCTCTCTCTAAAAGCGCCTTACTCTTCGTAATCTCGCACTTAACCTACTGCAGGGTGCAGAGGTCTGGGAGCTGCTTAGCATGTTTTCAGTTCTACCAAATATCAAAAGATACCTTTTCAGATCCAACAGCCTTGGGGAAAAATGCTGGCATCAGGAGCACACAACCACGAACTATAAATCCTATTTCACTGCTGATACAAGCATGTGCATGTATGGGAGACAATACGAAGAGAAAAACTAAGGTCGTAACTGGCATACTTTCTTCCTTAAAGGCGTATATATTTTTGACCAAGTACTAAATTAGCGATTACATTAAAATTTTTATTTCACTATTCATTGGTAAGATTCCATGAAAATATAACTCTTTTTATTAAAAGAAAATTACAGCTAGGCCTGGTATCTCACATCTGTAATTCCAGTACTCAGGAGACTGAGGCAAGAGCATCAATTTCTCAATCACATCAAAAAAACTTCAGTGTGCCTATTATTTCTTCAAAGTTAATAGCAACAATGTTGCTGTGCATAATGGTATATTGAGTGAAAATGTGGCACTTTTTTTAGTGATACATGGGCCAGAATTAAGTAAAAACTTGAAAGGCATTTATACTGTTTTTAGTATTTTTAATATCTTATTACTTTCATGTGTATGTGTATTGTGTGCATGTATGTTAAGTATACCTGTGTCATACAATGACTGTGGAGGTCAAAAGAGGGTGTCGGACCCCCTGGAACTGGAGTTATGGACAGTTGTTAGCCACCATGTAGGAGCTGGGACTTGAACCCGAGTCCTCTGCAAGAGGAGTCAGTGCTGTCTCTCCAGCCCTCTATTTTTTAGCATTTTAATCAAGCATCCTTACTTGGGATATTATACTTTAATAACTACATAGAAATTATTTGTATAGAAGTATGAGTCCCTTTTTTATTTATTATTTTTATTTTATATTTATGCGTGTATTGCCTGCATGTAGGTAAGTGCACACGTGTTGTGCAATGCCTGCAGAGGTCAGAAGAGGCTGTCATATCCCCTGGGACTGGGGTTTCAGACATTTGTTAGCTGCCATGTGGGTGCTGGGATTCAAACCCAGGTCTTCTGCAAGAACAATCAGTGTTCTTAACCACTGAGGCCATCTCTCCAGCCCGATTCCCTTTTAAATTTTGAGGGATTTTTGTTTATCATTTTAAGTAGAAAAAATGTTTAGATTACAAAAGATAATAAAGAGCATTGAAACCACAAAATCTAAAAGTATAACTCACCATTCAACTAATTCTTCTAACCTGACTTTATTCATACATAATGAACAATGTTAGCTGGTGAGGTGGTTCAAGCCAAAACTACTCAAGAGGGTGAGGCAGGAGCACTGCCACAAGTTGAAGGCCATCCTGAGGGCCATAGCTAAAGATCAGCCTAGATTATATAAGGAAATCCTGTCTCAAAAATACCATAAATGAGTTTTATAACTCAGAAATCATTTCTCAACTTATTTTAAAAGAGCATGGAGACACATAGAATTGGTGTAACTTTTACTTAGAAGAAATTACTTTTTAAATTTAGGTCATTCAAAAGGCAGAGGCAAGAGAATGCTAAGTTTGAGGTCAGCCTGGGCTACACAGAGGCCCTATCTCAAAAAAAAAAAAAAATATGGTCATCTCTTAAATACTTAAGAACAAATGACTTAATATTTTGCTGATATGCTTGTTAAAAACTTTTTCTACCAATATATAACTCTTAGGCAAGTCATATTTATCCCTGAAATTTCTCACATAATGATTTGCATCAGAAAATCATGACTTCTACAACCCACACTTCCATAAGCAAACTGAGGCTCTTTTATACCATGATCATAGTGCTTTAGATGGTTGAGTATTGAACTTCGAATCTAAGTCCAATCGCCATTAAATTTGCAAAGGTGGTCAGGCAGGTGGTGTACTATAATTCTAGCACTTAGGAGGTTGAGGCAGAAGGATCACTCTTGAGACTAGCCTGAGTTACAGAATAAATTCCAAGCCAACTCTGGCTACATGGCAAAGCTCTATCTCAAAAACAAACCAAAAATAATGCCAGGTGTGGTGGAGCACACTTAATCCTAGCATTTGGGAGGCAGAAGCAGGCAGATCTCTGTGAGATCTACGTAATGAGTTCCAGGCTAGCTGGGGCTACAGGGAGACCTTGCCTGAAAACAACAAAACAGCCGGGTGTGGTGGCGCACGTCTTTGATCCCAGCACTTGGGAGGCAGAGGCAGGAGGATCTCGGTGAGTTCAAGGCCAGCCTGGTCTACATAGTGAGTTCCAGGACAGCTGGGGCTACAGGGAGACCGTTTCAGAAAGACCAAAAAAAAAAAAAAAAAAAAAAAAGGCAGAACAAACAAAAAATAAAGATGTAGTTCAATGGTAGAATGTTTGCCTACTATGCACAAAACCCTGGATTTGATCCCCAGCAGAAGGGAAGGGGAGGGGGAGAAAGGAGAGAGAAATTTGGAAGAGAAGGAGAGAGGGAGGGAAGGAAGAAGGAGGGAAGAGAGGGAGGGAGAGAGGGAGGGAGGGAAGGCAGGCAGAGGAGGGAGGGAGGGAGGGAAAGAAAATTCCAAGGCGGCATAAGGGAATATGGACAGTGTAGTAGCTAAAAGCAGATTCTGGAGTCCAGCTTTCTGGGTCTGAATGCTATTTACCAGCTCTGTGGCTGGAGGATTTAGATTCTCCATGCCTCAGTTTCCTTAACTGTCAAAGTTGTTAACATCAACTTTGTAGGGTTGCCATGAGGATTAAATATGATAAATGTGTAGTACATTTAAATGCCACTGACACAGTGAAGATTCTAAGTGTTAGCTACTTTCAAGATGATGAGTTTATTACATGAACTCAAAAACTTTTCTGCTAGAAAATCACTTTGCCTATATATAGCAAATATCCTTCTTTATAAGCATATAGCCACATATACATGCACACAAAGTTAAGTGTCTCTTTCCAAATATTCTAGTTCATATTTGCTACTTATGCATCTTTGATTCTG